CAAAGAAAATCATAAACCAATACATTTAGTAAGTACATGGGTGAGGGTCTACATAGGCACATCAAAATGAAGCAGGGAGTCTCTGAATGTTGGACTGAATTACCATCTTTCTGCATTTTTAGTGAGACTAGTCAGGTCAGAGGTGCCCTCTTTTACCAACTGTCATAAGACTGTTGGGTCACATATATCAGACAACATGTAATGGCTTCTTGTTTAAGGCCCTGCAGTGGCCTTATCTCAGGCCTTCCAGTACTTTGTACAAGTAGATGGTGCTTTATCTCTTTTGGGGAAGAAGAAGTTGTCTATTTCTGGCGCTTGCTTTAAGAGTTCCGCCAGAGTATATTTCTTTGGAAATGTTTATTTCATATAATAAAGGTTATAAGACATAAACAAGGACATTATTTATAAGAGGTTCAATACAAAAAGATAAAACAGTTCCAAAGATTTATGTACCTCAAAAACATCAAAATATCTGAAGCCAAGACTGATAAAATTGAAAATAGACAGTTCTGTAATATTTGGAGACTTCAATACCCCCTTCCCCCAATGTATAGTGCAGTTAGAGTCTAGTTGACAAACTAGGTGTCCAACATTTTGGGCTGCCTGAGCTGAATTGAATAAAGAGGAATTGTCTTTGGCTATAATAAAATATACAATATTGTCAATGCATATAGGTTGCCAAACTTCCTTTTTTATATTTTTATTGTAACGTTTATAAAAAGGGCAAGTGGTCCATGAACAACAGATTGCATATACCTAAGATAGAAGACGATTAAGGAAATACAAGGCAAAAACTACATTTCACAAAATGGAAGAAACTCTTTCAAATCATATGTTTGATAAAGAATTAAACAGAGAACTCCCAAATTCAGCAATAACACAACACACCAATTTTAAAATAGCCAAAGGATTTGAACAGATATTTCTCCAAAGAAGACATATAAATGGTCAGTAAGCACATGAAAATATAGTCAACATTTGCTAATCAGTAGGTAACTACAAATTGAAGCTACGGTGAGATAGTGCCTCACCTTTATTAGGATGACTATCTGAAGTAACACATGTTGGTAGGACATGGAGAAATTGGAATCCTTGTGCACTGTTGGGAATGTAAAATGGTACAGCTGCCACAGAAAACAGTACAGGAGTTCCTCTTAAGCTTAAATGGAGAATTATTATATAATCTAGCAACTCCACTTCTTAGTTTAAAAAAGAAATTGAAAATGTTCTCACATAGCTATAGCTACATCCTTGTTGAATGCAGCTCTACTTGCAATAGCTGAGTCAACGGTAGCAATCACACGTCCGTCAGTGGGTGGATGGGCAAGCAAAATGCAAATGATGCATTCAGTGGAATACTGCCAGCCTTCAACAGAAGGGAATTCTGACATTACACGGAAAAACCTTGAGGACATTATGTTAAGTGAAATAAGTTAATCAAAAAATACTGTATTGTTCCATGTTTATGAGATTTTAAAGCCGTCAAAATCATGGAATCAGAGTGGCTGGCAGTTGCCCTTCAGTTTCACAAGCTGAAAGGAGTTGTAGAGATGCATGGCAGTGAGGGCTGCATGGTGTGGTCAGTGTATTTGTTACCGCTGAGCAGAAGGCTTGATGATTACAACCGGTAATGGTTACATTATGGGTGTTTTTGCCACATTTATTTTTTAATCGGGTTTTATTGGTACATTTTAGATATACATAATGATCACATTCATCATAGAGAATTTGTACCTGTGTGATATAACTTGATTCTTTTTATTTCTTACGCCCCTAATCTTTCAATCCCTCTTTCCCTCTCCATTTACAAAAGCTTTGTTTCCATTTTTTCCTTCTCTCATTTTTTTTTAACTTTTCCCTTCTTTCCTTTCCCCCTCCGCCCTCCTTTGTTCCCCACTTGAACATTTTCTTCCAGTTTCACAATACCTGTTATACATTTTGGTCATTATTTATACTTTTGGTTGAGAGACAGTGTGGTATTTACACAAGTATACCACACTTTTAAAAACTGAATACAAATGCATCTCACACTCAGCAAATATTGAAAGCTGAATACACCTACTTACGTGTGAGATTGAGTGGTGCAGATTCGAAGGTTCAAAGACCAACAAAAGTAACATGAGTTACAGTATTCAAGGAAAGTTTTCTTAAAAGGGTCAAACTTGAGCTAGAACTTTGAGGATTTCTGTTGCCCAAGACAGAAGTATACTGTGGGTTGGAGGACCCAGAAAGGAACACTGAGAAGGGAGGTTTAAAAAAAAAAAAAAGTAAGAAGAAGAAGTGGTAAAGAGATAGGTTTATCAACAGAAATCCCTAGAAACAAACAGGAAAATTCAGTCTTAATGTTTTAGTAAAAGAAACCTTTTCAGGCTTCTGAGGGCCCAACTCATGCATTCCTATCTATCCGTCAGTGTTGTTATGTGGCTTCCTGAAAAGGCTGTCCACTTGTGTCCACAAATCACAGTGTTTAGTTCTCTGAGTATCTGAAGCCCTATGTGTTGTGATAAAAGAATACAGTGATTTTAAAATGAAGGCACATTACTATTAATCTCCTTTAAAATACTCTCCTTGCAGCACCTGTATCCATCATTCCTGCCATTTTCTGAAGCAGTTCTAGAAGTCTTATTTCGTGAGTGTCTTTTAGCTGCTTTGTTATGGCTGCTTTGATGTCCAAATCTATTCTAAACATTTATCTTTCATAGTCACTTTGACTTTGGAGAAGAGCCAGGAGTCACATGGTGCCAAGTCCAGTGAAAAAAGGTGGATGAGGGCACATGGTAATTTTATCTGACAGAAATTGCTGTAAATATTTTTTAAATGGACTCAGAACATCAAGGCAGCCACAGTAGCACAACTAAAAACACTCATGAAAGAGGACTTCAAGAACCACTTGAGAAAGTATCAAGAATAAGTGCTTTTAAAGTGACAGAAATACTTCAGGGGGATTAAATGACAGTGTGTCTTTTACCATAGCAAATTTTTTTCTTCAAGAGCACATCATATTTTTTGTCACACCTCACATCTGAATAAAATATGAGAGCAAATTGAGGCTATTAAAATAGTTCAAATTTGTATCCTTTACATCATTATCACTTCTGTAACCAAAAAAAAGGTTCTATTTTTATACAGAGGGGTTTTTCCCCAGTTAAAAGACAATGCTGTGTATAAGTGGAAAAATACTCAATCTCTTTCCAGTTCTCTCAGACACGGAAGTAGAATTATAGGTTACCTCTGTAAGAGTTTTAGATTTTTTACTATATCAAGTCCCCTTTATCCACAGTTTTGCTGTAGTCATCCACAATCTAAAAATATTAAATCAAAAATTCTAGCAGTAAGCAATCCACAAGTTTAAAACTGTGCAGGATTTAGAGTGTGGTAGAGAACTTCCACTGTCTTGCCCAGCATCTGAACCATGCCTTTGTCCTAATTGTCCGTGGTGAATGGCTGCACTAGCATCATGCTTGTGTTCAAGTAACCCTTTCTAAACTTGATAATAGCCCCAAAGCACAGACTGTTATTACAGTATAATTGTTTTAGTTGTTGATTTGTTACTGTACCTAATTTACAAATTAAACCTTATCACAGGAGTGTGTGTGTGTGTGTGTGTGTGTGTGTGTGTGTGTGTGTTTTGTGTGTGAAAGGCACATACTGTGACAGAACAGTGTGTTCAGGGTTCAGTAGCACTTGCAGTTTCAGGCATCTGCTTCCAGGTCTTGAGCCATCACTCTCACAGATAAGGAGGGACTACTGTGTTCAGGGGGTGATCAATAAATACAATGAATGCTGGAATTTTTTAACAAGTACAATAAAAGAGACATTACCAAGAATCATAGCACAAGTGTGTTCAAAATAAGGGAGAATATTTTGAGGAAGATTATTGGCATATGTCTTTTACTGTAATACATTTTTTAATCCAGACATTCCTGATATCTTTTAATCACCCCATCAGTCAAATGTTTGTATCAATTGCTGTCAGATAAAACCATTACTGTGTGTCTTTATCCACCTTGGTGACAAAATCTAGCCCCATGTAACTTCTGACTCTTCCCCAGACTCACAATGATCATGAAAGATAAATATTTTGAATTGGTTCAGGGCATTGAGGCAGGCACAACAACATAACTACAAGGTACTCATGAAAGAGTATTGGATTAATATTATCACATAATTATTGGAGACTGATCAGGCCCGCAGTCTCCCAAATGAGTGGACAGTGAAGGCTTAAATGAAAGAGACAAGTAATATGATTTTAGCGTTCCAGGAAGTTCAGAACCCTCTAACAGAATTTGAGATTCTGGTGGCTATGACTTAGAACTTTTCTAGGCAGCCTTTATTTATTTAGTTATCAAACAAAAGTGGGGAATACTGAAGAAACTGCAGAAATCTGGGCAAGACCCTGGGAGTTCCTGCAAGGACTTCTCCAAGTATTACATCATGTTAATTTAGGAGAACTATGTTATCTCCCGGAAGGCCTTCACCACAGGAATACACTTCCTGCAGCTGCAGTTTTAATCTAAGTAACTGAGGTTGGAGCCAGGTGTCCTTAGCTATGTGGCCTTATCTTGTCCTTTGAGTCAGGACATGACTTATAAAAATTTACTTACCATGAGTCTACTGCCCATCTCCAGACAAAGGGCCTAGGCCTCAGACAGACTTAACAAGTAAACATGGAAAGCCAGTTGGTTAATTTAAATCCTGCTCAGAGCCTCTTCATAGTGGTCTCAAAAAAAAAAGAGGACTTCTAGAACTGCTCCACAAAGTGGAAAGAATGATGGGATATGTGCATCTGACAGTCACGTGATAGTATTTTGACAGTGATTGATGGCACTGTGTCCTTTACTTAAATGATTTTTTTAATTTAAGCACTCACTTTTGTTCACATCTCATACTTGCTATATTTAAATGTACTCACTTTTTAATCATGGATGTAATGGGAAGAATAACTTTTTAAAGCTGTCCATACAATGTATATATAAATATTTTGTTTCTTGCCTTTATAGATGGAAAAAGTCTAAAACCTCCTCAGGATGTAGAGGTCTCCATCATAGATGATGACTTTACCTTGAAGTGGACCTGGAGCCGTGAGTCCAACAGGACTGTGACTTTTTCAGCAGATTATATAGCGTAAGAGACTCTGTTAATGATTTACTAAGTGACCTGGGTGACTTTTATAATTTTATCACCTTAATTTCGTTCCAGATTTGGGAAAATTTCATTTTGTCTGTTATTAGAAATGTTGTCTGTTTAACAGAATATTTGTAACTTCATTTGTCTAGAGACCTGGTCAAATTCATCTTTGAAGCAAAAGAAATTCAGAAACGAAGGTAGTAGACAGCTTTTGCATTCCACATCCATTCCCATACCTTCTCTGCTCTGGTGTTCTGGACTCACAAAAACATGTACTAGCATCTGAGCCAGAGCATATCTGGAGAATATGCCCAGTATCCTGGAAGGCCTATCCACTGTCTTAGACCAGGCTACCCAGCCTCTTACACTCAAGGTTTTCTATTGTTCAGTATCTTAGTGTTAGATACAACTTATAAACATCAGAAATTGATTAGAACATCAGTATATTGATTGTACTCTTCACTTGGAAAACCTGAACATTCATGGAATTTCAGCACCTCTTTCTTAGTGCTTCCTGCTTCATAGTTGCTAAGAGGACTGGCAGGCAGGGAGCTGCAGGAGGAACGGTTGTCGAGGGGACACTGCCAAGAAAGCCAAGCCCTTTGTCACTTGGTTGGAGTCAGTGCCCTGTCTACTCACGACTCATAGCCTCATGTCCAAGGAGGAACAGATGGTGAGGAAACATGCATTAGGACCATCACAACCATTTTCCAATTGTTCTATCACCACTTTATACCACTGTTTTCCACTTGCTGCTAAGACTAGGCTGTCAGGGAGCTGGTGAGATAGCTCAGTGGACTAAAAAGCCTGCTTAGGCAAGCTTAGGCAACCACAGTGACCACGGTTCTACCCCCAGCACCACATGCTGTGCTAGCCCCACCCCCAGGGCAGGCTGAGCCAGCCACAGAGTCAGGCATAGTGGCCCATGCCTGTAGTCCCAGTGCTGGGGAGGCTGAAAAACAGGAGGATCACTATGAGTCCAAGCTGTGTAGTGAGACCCTATAACAACGAAATAAAATTTAAAAAGACTAGGATGTCATGGTTTATGGTTTTATGTGAGTGTGTCTCTGTATGCATAGGCACATACTTGTTTAGGGATTTTCTTTGAGTTGTGGACCAGGGAGATAGCTCAGTAGAATAAGTTTTCCTGACAAGAGCAAGGTCCTGAGTTCCATCCCTGGTACCACCAAAAAAAAAAAAAGTGTATTTTTAAAAAAAAGTTTAAATAAGTGCTTGCCTGGCAGGCGCAAGGGCCTGAATTCAGTCCCTTGTTTGGCAAAAAAAAAAAAAGTTGAGTTGTAAGCTTTGTTACCAAGTCATTCTTTGCCTTAGTTCACAATTTTCTTATTAAGTAACGGACTTAGATATAGCAGGGATTATTTCAGATACCCTTATTTAAGGACACTCATCACAAAGGTAGAACACCCATTCTTCATATTCACATTCTTTCATGTGCTCTTGCTCAAGCTGAATTCTTCATTCAGTTCATACCCTTTCACCCTTCCACTCTGTCTTCAGCGTCAATTGCCTGATTTCAGTGCATCCTTAGTCCTGGATGGTTTTGCTAGCTTTATAAACACTTCCCTTGCAGGTAGCTGGAGAGATAACAGTGCTAGCTTAGTGCAGTGTGGACTTGAGCTGGGCCTTATGCGTTTACTTGTTATGATAATAGGAATGACTAATCATTCCAAACCAAGATACTTGTAAGAGCGGAAAGAAGTCCTTCATTTTAAATGAGCTAAAAACAATCTTAAACTCGGCCCAGCCAGATGTATTGGAGCCTAGTGACAAAGTTTATAACTCAGTAGGTTGTTCTGAGTATTGAATGATTAGTTGTATATAATGTGCTCAGGAGAGTGTCACAAAGTAATTAGCATGAGCAGCAGACAGCTACTTATTAAATGTAGGACATATACCAGTGATTAAAAAAAAATACACAGATGAATAAATAAATAGTTGTAATTTCAGTGCTTGCAAAATATATTTAGTCTCAAACATCAGTGTTTATAACATCTGAACTGGGTATGGTGTAATGTGTAGACTTTGTTCTTTCATTAATCAAATACTTAATGCCTTTTAAACTAAACATGCTTCTGTGTTCTCAGAATGCCACAGTGAATAGGAAGGACAAAGATGGTATGAAGTTTTATTGTTAAACTGGTTCTAGAAAATGATTCTTGGGCTGGAGAGATGGCTCAGTGGTCTAAAGCACCTATTTGGAACAAGCTTGGCAAAGCATCAGGGACCGCGGTTCGATCCCCAGCACCACATGCCAGCCAGCCCCGCCCCCTGGTGGGCTGAGCTGGCCACACACACACACCACTCTCTCTCTCTCTCTCAAATAAATAAAAATTAAAAAAAAAAGAAAAGAAAATGATTCTTACGTCATTTACATACTCATATTTTAAATCACATTATGTGCCAGTCTACTTATTGTATGTGGTAAAGAATTTTTTTAAAATGTAAAAGTAGCTCCTATTGCATTAGCTTCTTTAAATGTGAAGCATTTTAATAAAAGATCAACTCCTAGAACAGGAAAGAAGACAGAAAGTGATAGTGGGTTGGAACTGTGTTAAGACTGTATTAATTTGGAGGAGCAGGGGAGTGGTAGGGATTGAACTCAGGATTCTTACCACTGAGTGACACTTCCAGCCCCTGTGCTTTTGTATTGTTTATTTGTGTATGTGTTTTACACTCGGGATTGAATCCAGGGCCTTGTGCTGAGCTACATCCACAACCTTTTTTTTTTTAAACTTTTTTCCCCCAGTCCTAAAAGTTTTTACTTTGGGATAACATTTCACTAAGTTTCACAGCCTAGCCTCAAACTTCCAACCTTCCTGCCTCAGTCTCCCACATAGCTGAATTACAGGCACATGCCACTATGCCCAGCTCTGCCCCTTTTTAAGAAGTAGAATCTAATAATATCTCAGAACTTTCAGATTGACCAATTCCAATAGAAGAATTCATCTCCTTATGTTAACATTCTAAGTATTTATTTTTGAAGTTTGTAATACAATGTGGAGAGCAGGAAGCTAGTGGAGTTGTTTGGTTTTGGAGCAGGCGAAAGAAACCCTGAAACCACAAAAAGGGATCATCAAATCCAATTCCCAAATTTTCAATAGAAAGTTAAGATCCAACAGTGCAAGATAGCCCAGAAATTACAAAGCCAACACTAAATCTCCTTTTCCTTTGTGGGTCATTTATTTTTCTACTTCCTTAAAATTCATTTACTGCAACCACCCATGAAGTTAGGTAGAAAACTGTCTTTAAAATTAGCTATCTGTGGAGGGGCAGCTCTGCCCTGGAGCCACTGTGGACTGAAGACATCCTGGACCCCATGACCACACATGCCTGGATCCCCTTATAAAGAGGCTGCAAATTTTTTTTGTTTTGTTTTCAGAAAAGGAGAAGAGGTATTCATCAAGTTGGCTGTTGGTTCTCCCTGTGCAATGGGTAAAAAACCCATTATGGATAAGATTATATATTCTGTAGGGATCCATTGGTCTCACTGCAATCGGTTATAACCAGGGAGAAATGGGGGCAGGAATAAGAAAAGATAAATAAGAAGACAAAAGCTGGGCTAGGTGGTCGTTGGTCTGTCTAATAGGCAAGATTAACTCAACACACAACAAAACCTACGTTTATTTATACTTTGGCAAAGTTGGTAACACGTGACGCAAGGTTGCCTAGTGACTAATACCTGACCTTAACCAGACAGTATGTTTATCTCAGGACTAAGGTAGCGTGTTTGCTTTAGGCACTGAGGCCTAGTCCTGCCTACACACATTTGATCAATTTCCTAGCTTCTCCCTACTCTCCACAATATTCAGCTTAATTGCCTGTTGTTTCTATACTGAAACAAAGATTTGTTCAGATGAGGAGGGGAGCACCAAAGTGGGAGGGGAAAGGAAAGAAGGAAAATGAGAAAAGAAGGAAAAACTGGAAACAAAGCTTTTGTAAATGTGAAGCGGAAGAAGGTTGAAGAGAGTAAAGGAACAGGAGAAAAAGAATCAAGTTATCTTGCAGAGATACAAATTATGTATGATGAATGTGATCAAAGACTAACTTTCCTGTCTGTGGAGCCACTAAGTCACACAGGATACTTTTAGCGGAACCAGCTCCTCCTGGAAAACAACTACCCACTGTAGTATACAAATGTACAATGGCTCCTTAGGAACCTTTCTTACCTGATGGTTCTGTTTTCTGTCTTGTTCTTGACTGTGGGCTGAAAGGGGGATGCTCAGCTGCAAAAGGAGCCCAGGGGCCCTTCAGCCAGGTTCCTGTGTGGCATCCTCTTCCATGGCCACACTCTATCTCCAATCCAAGGTTGTCCTCTGGCTCCTATCTCAAATGATTTGGAGAGGAGATTTAAGGTAAAGTAATCCATCTCTGCCTTTATAACCAGGAAAATCCTACATACCTTGCACATCCTCTGTGACTGCTAGTGACAGTATGGTAGCTTACTCTGCTACTCTGAAACTATATTTATGGTCCTCACTTTGACAGTGCATATACAAAAACTGTGTGTAATTAATGTATGCTTCCCCCTTTACAAATGCCTGATTAAAAAGGATAAAAGAAGCTTGGCATATTTATCTATTAGTACTTGTTAGTCCTTTTGACTCCTCTCCCCTTTGAAACAGGTGACATTGTACAGTGAAAAGATTTTTGGCATAAAAAGAAACCAATATATGTCTGAGTGACTCCATTTCATAAGTAGTAACTTGGCTTACAGGTATTGTATCAGAACAGAAGCATCCATACACTAACATGTTAACAGGCCATTAACTCAGGTAGAGGAAGTAACTTCGTAAGCAAGCTTTATGACGTTAGCAGGTAGACATATTTGACATGTATGCATTTACTCATTTATTCATTTGGGATTTTTTTTTTAATCTTAAAGATCAGAAATGGATAATTGGATAAAATTGCCTGGATGTCAACATATCACAGGTTCAAAATGCAACTTCTTTCTACATGAGGTAAATTTTTATGAAGAAATTAAATTGCGTGTAAGAGCAGAAGAAGAAAATAGCACTTCTTTGTGGTATTATGTCAACTCGTTTATACCATTTCAGAAAGGTAAGAAAAGGTGCTGACTGAATTACGTTCTTTAGTAAGTGCTACTGGAACCATTCTCTTTTCAAGCCCATTCATTCACATAATGTAACATCTCCTAGCTTTCAAAAAGAAAATACAAAGATTTCCTAAAGCCTGTACCTCCACGCTGTGGCTGCGTGTTTCTGCCTTCCTGGAAGAAGTGTGTCTCGAAGTGTTGTCCCCAAGACCTTTTTTGCACTGACCTTCTCAGACCAAAAAGCTACAAC